ACAAATTTAGTTATAAAATAATAATAAAATTTCGAAAAAATTTTTCAGTTTGAAGCACCAAAGATGCCACCAAAAAAAAATAGGGATTTTTGCAGGTGCGACTCCCGCATTTGCGCCGAGGGCACAAAATGCAAATGTGTCGGCCAAAATAAAATATGCAAAAAAGGGTGTTGGTGCCTGAAGTACCAACATGAATGCAAAAATGTAAGGAGTATAATGAGCAACAATACAGTGCTTTTGTTGCCCAGTATACATTAATTATATAATTAATGTTTTTTATTTTAGCCATTACAGCCCGAAGTCGCCCAGGCTGCCGCACTGAGTAGTACGAGCAGCAGCGACACCGATTATTCGACACACAGCGACACGCGTTACGATCAGTTACGTGAAAAGGCGGAAGGCCTGATAATAGAAAATCAGGCCTTACAAAAATCAAATGAAGCCTTAAAAAAATCAAATGAGGCCTTACAAATCCGTCTGAGAGAAGCAGAACAAGCAAACGAAAATGTTTCGAGAGAAAATTCGGAGTTAAAAAAAGAACGGAGGACCTTACTAAACCAAATTCAAGAGTTAAGTGGGAAAGTAAGGATAATGTGTCGAGTGCGTCCACCGACACCAAAAGAAACTCTGGAGAATAAACCGTAAGTAAATGTGTTAAATAATCTCTTTTAATCCCTTGAATAAAAAAGATTATTTTTATTTGTGTATCTAAATGAAAATATTGTTTGTTACAGGTTGTGTAATATATGCGTAAAAAACGATATTATCATTGACGTTAAGAAATCGGATGGATCGTCAGATGCAAGGAGCTGTAGTGGAAAGCTACGAGAAACAAAACAAGAATTTTTATTCGATAGAGTATTTGATCGCGATTCTTCACAAGCAGATGTGTTTGAAGAATTATCCCTTTTAGTACAATCAGCACTTGAAGGATTTAATGTTTGTATATTTGCTTATGGTCAGACTAATTCTGGCAAGACGTATACTATGGAAGGCTCGAAGGAAGGAGAATGTGGATTACAGACCGAGGGCATGATACCTAAAACAGTATGTTTTTATATATATTTACAATATAATATACGTATGTATGTGTGTGCTTTTTAGAATCAAAAAGAAAATACGTGTATGTAATTTCAGGTACGTCATATATTTGAACAAATGAAACAACTCGAACTTCATGGTTGGAAGTATGAAATAGAAGCAAGTATTTTGGAGATTTATAACGAGCGTATCGTTGATCTTATCCATCACGATGAATTCAAGAAACATGAAATTCGAGTGGATAAGAATAATAAAGATATGGAGGTAACCAACCCGCAAATTAAAAAAATAGGCAGTGAAGAAGAATTACACGAATGCCTACGAACTGCACAATACAACCGAAGAGTTGCACCTACTCAGTCAAATGAACGGTAATTTTATTTTGAAATTTTATATGATTAAATATTTATTAGGATATAACATAGAATTTAATTTAAAATAAATAATTATTTGTACTTTCAGATCATCCAGATCTCATTCAGTAACAAAAATACGCTTGATTGGTACAAATGATACGAAAAAAAAAGTAGGAAGCATAAATTTAATTGACCTAGCAGGGTCTGAAAGCGTAAAACATGATCTCAGTCCATCTACAGAAACAAAAAATATTAACAAATCGTTAAGCAGTCTGGGCAATGTAATTTCGGCACTGTCACGTAATCAGGAACACATACCATACAGGGATTCTAAATTGACCTTCCTGCTTATGCCTTCTCTATCAAGCAATTCAAAAATTTTGATGTTATTAAATATATCTCCATTAGAGGAATGCTATTTGCAGACTATAACAACCCTAAGATTTGGAAGTGCAATAACGAGTTCCAATACAGGAAGTATTAAAGAGAGGAGCCCGCGTCATCTACGTACGCCGTCCCCAAGTCATCTACGT